GTATGGGTGCTGGGCGGTTTTTAATGTTGTGTGGCCAGGTTCTCTGCCGTTCAACCTGTTTGAATACCGATGCATCCTGTTGCATTGAGCTGTCGTCATGTACGACACCATTTTTGTAGCCGCATTTTTTGCAAGTCCAACTGTGTCCTGCTAATTCACCAAGGAGGGTCAAGTATGTACATGTCGCTCTATGGCTTCCAAAAGAGGGCATGCTGGCCGCTTGAAAGAAACAACCTTAGGAGTGTACCCCGATAACTTACTACCATCCATGATCATATTTAAAATTGAACCGAACGAAAAACATTATTATAAAGCTGTTTGGCTTGTTCTATGGTGATTGTAATTACATGTTATTGAGCGAATAGTTTGATCCACACAACACTGTGAGCAGATATTTGATGAAGGAAGGTTGGGCTGAGATTCAAAACAACTCTTGGGATTGTGATGGGCTGGAATTTTAAACTTCCTTGTTTATTTTCTTTTTTTTTTTTTTTTTTTTTTTTTTTTTTAGCGCCAACAACCATGTTACTACGACCGGCTGGAAGACGCTTCATTGGCGAAACACGATCACATATTTTACGTGCACAAACAACTTCCTCGTTTAGACTTTATACAACTCCATCCGAACCTTCTCCTTCTGAAAAACCTGAAGAAACACCTCTTTTTGCTAAGTTTCGTGATGCCCCATCCATCCTTGGTGCAAAGGATCCTCCTGTAGCGGACAAGAACACTTGGTTACAGCGCAAAAAACAAAAACTTCGAGACTTTACTGACTATGAAAAGGCTTTTGCTGCTCATGCTGCTGAACGTCGTCACTTGTAAGTGAAGAGCGGGGGTAGGGGGACATGTTATTTCGGTATCCTTGTGAAAGCTAAATACTGTGTATTATATGTAGGGTCGAAGAAGCTACCAAATCATACTTTGCTGATGTCCATGGTAAGTTTACTGCTACGATCGAAATTACGTTATATTAATAGTCTTGTTATTGTAGAAATGCGAAAACATGGTGGGAAAATGTACTATGCGTCCAACAAACTGACCAAGCCGGAGAAGGCGGGATATATGCCAGATTTTGAGGGATCCAACGTGAATCGTGAAAAGGTGCACACCACTGATATGCTGCTTGGAAAGGTATCACTCATGTCCTTTGTCTATGCAAAATATGGGGAACCTCATGTCAACTCCTTTGTAAATCCTTTTTTGGCCAAGTTCAAGGGTGTTGATGGAATCCAAACTGTTGAGGTAATGTAACAAGTGTATGGATTATTATACATCTACTATATACTTACTTTTTTTTTCTTTCTGCTTTTAGCTGAATGTCCAAGAAAACATTTTGAAACAGTGGTTACTGAAAGCATTTATTCCAAGTATTCGAAGAAATCTTTCTGATGATCGCAAGGTAAGAGGGGCAAAAGGAACCGATGATGGACTAGAATATATATATAGGTTATACTCATTGGAAATATAATGGTTTTAGGACAACTACGTACTTTTATTCAAGGATATTTCAAAGACAAGAAAAATGTTAGATATGACAAATCAGTATATTGGATATGTATTCTTGGTGGATGAAGATTGCAAGATCCGATGGACTGCTCATGGCAATGGAACTGATGAAGAGGTGGCAAATATGTTGGCTATGACGGATTTCCTCAACCAAAAAAGAATCAAGGCTATGGGAACAAATGATAGCAAACAATGATGGGTCAAGTCTATCTTTAGATTAGTTATCAACCCGTACCCCTCTTATTAGTTTGTATATATCAACAATTTAGAATAGACCATTCCCTTTACTATCATTATCACTCATACACCTTCATACACATACATACAATAACAAAATAAAATAAAAATTTATGTACCGAAATGACATTTGACTTTGTGGTGGTGACCGTTGTTATGGTTTGATTAGAATTCATTCTTTTGAACAAGCTATTGACAAACCAGCATATATATTATTAGAGGAATGAAAATCAGCGAAATACGTTTGTTATCAACTTGTTCTTTTTTTTGTTTTTGTTTTTTTTACCTCATTGTTTGTATTTTGACGTGTTTTGTTTATTTTATTGATGGATTGATAGGTTGATGCTTTCAGATAATTACAGTCTTTTAGATAGATGTGCGTAGATCTGAAAGGAAATTATAATGAGATTGAGTTGATGGTGTCTTGATGGGGATTTGCTGTGCGGAATGTATAGCTGCTGTGTTAATAAAATTAATGCTGACTACAAAGCTAGAGATGAACATACGATTTTTCTCAAGAATTTGAACGAAAAAAAAAAAAAAAAAAAATTGTCGGGCCAAGAGAAAAAAAGGGCGTTAGGTTGTAAAATGGTTCAAAACTTACTGCATTTATGAAACTTTGATGCAATATTCAAAGAGTAGCAAGCGACGTCGCTAATAATACTGGACTGGTACATGTGCAATTCCGAAATTTTACCCCTGATTTCACAAACGTCTGTATTTAAATATCGAATACTGCCCCTGAATATATATATATATTTACCTCAGGACTAAAGGCTCGCTTACACTGCAGCAAATCATCACAGAGTATAAATAATCATCTTATCGTCTCCCCAAATAAATGGATGAGAAGAACTTGGTCCACCAAAAGCTTTTTACTAACAAATTTTTATTGCAAAAATATAAAGTAAACATTGTTAGCAATTTTTTTGTCTTATAGATCGTCTCGGAGAACATGGCTCAGAACACCCCCACTTTTTCACTCTTAATTTCAAAGAATATTTTATTAAGGGTACCAGCATTTTCTCTTGCAAAAAAAAAAAAAAAAAAAAAAAAAAAAAAAAAAAAAAAAGATTTTACTTGAGGTCATGGGTAAAGTCATTCGCTCAGAAAGGAAAATGGCTTGCAGTAGTAGAAGATTCTTTTGTGCTTAGTATGCATGGTGGTACTACCCGTGAAAAAAAATGACAGTGACGTTTGCCAAAAAACTCTACAATATAACGGTGGCTGTGCTCACGGAACGGCCTGTGTCTATTAATATGGTTGGTCAATCAGGAATATTACGACGTCTAGTATCATGCAACTTAAGACTGTCGAATAGTTTACTAGGACACTGGGAGAATTAGTCATAGTGGGAAGGGAAACTAGAAAGCAGGTATATGGTACAACTCTCACAAAATAACCACTTTCATGGTGTTGCTACAAGATAATGAGCCAGAAGGTGGTCAATGAAATGGCATATCTTATTTGAAGTATACTGGTAAATACTAAACTACAAAATGCGGTGTTCAATTTAACAAGGGTGTAATGGAGGTAGCATGAAGGAAACTATAAGTAGATGTGAAGAATGAGCAACGCCAGTCTAAAGGAATAGCTGTAAAAAGGGGTTTGATTTGTAGTAAGTGGCAGACAAGACATGGTAAAGACTATATGTGGATATCTTGTATTGAGGCGTAACAATTGTCGACACTAATGTAAGTAAGGGGGATGGTAAAAAGAGAGATCCCTTGTACAAGACATGAAAGAAACTAATGGGACGTTTTTCATTGAAGCAAGTAAAAATAAACATATTTTATTCAGTTGAAGGTACAAACTATTGATAAACTAACACTAAACTACGCTAATGAAGCTCCAAAAAGACAACAAATGCTGGTTCCAGATCCTAGATCCAAAATGAAAGACTTCCCCCATGCATCTTGCAATCCCTGAGCTGAACCCCCTTCTAAACTAGCCCTGACACTAATCTAAGTCCTTCAAAACCTATTCAAAGTACAATGATGAAGGAAAGAAAAAAGAAAGAAAAAGAAATGAAAAGAAAGAGAGACGGAGGAGAAAATAAAAAGCATATATGTGCGGGTTTTAAAATATCTATTTTTGTAAGTGTGAGGTGTTTTCCCTCACCATAGAGCAATTTGGCCTAGTTCTTTATATTATTCTATTTTATATGATTATTTCTTTCGAAAAAATACTTCCCCTCAGCAGACTTTGAATCCTCAAATCTATTTTATTCTTTTCACTTTTACTTTTCAACTGATTGAACTTCATCCTAAAAAGTTCTAGTGCTCATTCTAAAAAAAAAAAAAAAAAAAAAAAAAACCTACAAAAACGATTTCCGGTTACGATCTAACGACCAAAATTAGCAGTAAAAGATCAAATATAAAGAGTGTCATGGAAACGAACAACGACAATTTCCTTGCTGCCGCCTTTGGCGTAACTGATGCTCTTGGTTGGGCAATGGAGGAATAAAGGTGTATAATTATTTTCTTTTTTTCTTTTATTATCTTATTTTTATTGGTTCTTTCATATATATTATCTTCTCATCAAATTACTACCTCTGTCACGTACATAACACCTATCATGCACATAACACTTGTCATGCACATAACACTTGTCATGCACATAACACTTGTCAGGTACATGACACCCACTCGCCGCCACTTTATTTTTTAGTATAAATACCCCACCTTTCCCCCGCCAATTCTCTTTTTCTTTAGTTATTTATTTTTACATATTTATCTCAACCTCTTTTTTTATATAAAATTCAGTACAAAGGTTTTTAACCACCAAATCACTGTCTTATTTTTATTTTGTTTCTATCGTCTATATAGAAACTTTCTCTTATTTTTTGTGACTACAAGTCCTCTTTTTATTTTATTTTTACTGTGTGTTATACACTTATTTTTATTGAACCAACAAAGGTCAATACTTTTCTTTTTATTTTATTTTACTCTTTCAAGTTTATTTTTTATAAACTTTCTCTACAGTTGGACTTTATCTACAAAAGTTCTGGTGCTCACTACTATCAAATCTATTTTTGTCCGATTCAGGAACAAAATATTTCAAATTCCGCCGAAGGAAGAAAATTATTTTTCAAAGCTCCAAACGATCAAAGCTACACCAAAGGATCACTCAAGACATCCTATTTAACCCAGAAAAACATAAAAAAACCTACAAAAACACAATCCAGTTGGACTAAAATCACAAATTTAGCCGCAACAAGAGAATAAAAAAATAATGGTGTCGATATGGCAAAAATGCGTCGCCTACGAGATTCGAACTCGCGCGGGCAAAGCCCAATGGCTTAGCAGGCCATCTCCTTAACCACTCGGACAAAGCGACAAAGTTGAGATTGAAAATGGCATGCCTTATATAACACATGTTTCATGTGTGTCCTTTGTAAGGAAACTGAAATATAGGGGCTTGAATTATTTTTCAATTCAGTCAGTTTGTCCGAGTGGTTAAGGAGTGTGACTAGAAATCACATAGGCTCTGCCTGCGTAGGTTCAAATCCTGCAGCTGACGATATCTTTTTGTCCTTTTTGGAAAAAGGCACTCCTATCTTTTTTTTTATTATTATTAGTTGTGTTACGGCTAATTTGGGTAAGAAGCTTGTAACAGAGTAGTGTTTTTGTAGGTTTTTATGTTTTTCTGGGTTGAATAGGATGTCTTGAGTTATCCTTTAGTATAGCTTTTGCTTGTTTAGAGCTTGAAAATAAATTTGTTCCTTAGGCGGAATTTGAAATATCTTGTCCCTGATTTGGACAAAAATAGAATTGAGAGTAGTGAGCACCAGAACTTTTGTAGATAAAGTCCAACTGTAGAGAAAGTTTATAAAAAATAAACTTGTAAAAGTAAAATAAAATAAAAAAGAAAAGTATTGACCTTTGTTGGTTCAATAAAAATAAAATGTATAACACGAAAAAGAATAAAAAGAGGACTTATAGTCACAAAAAAATAAAAGAAAGTTTCTATATAGACGATAGAAACAAAATAAAAATAAGACAGTGATTTGGTGGTTAAAAACCTTTGTACTGAATTTTATATAAAAAGGGTTGAGATAATAATATAATAAAAATTAACTAAAGAAAAAGAAAATTAAAAAAAAATTGGGATATATATATAAAAATAAAACTTAAAAATGGACTAAAAAAAGACGTCAGCGTAAAATATTCGTAGGTAAAAATATGACATTGGGGTAAAAAAATATGAAGGGATAAATGTAACAATCAACAAAAACTTAAGCTCCCATGGCCCGATTTTGCAGATCAGCGATTCCCAATAGGTTTGCCCAGGTAACATTTACAGTTTTTATATTTTTTATAGTGTTATGGTGCGGCTCACTCATAATGTCAAATTTTAGGCATGATCCTAGAAAGCTGATGGTTTTCTAAAAAATGGCCACCTCAAAAGAACAATGTATAAACATGATAATTCAGACCTTTAAGAACAAAACGTGTACATCAGTTTTTTTTTTTTTTTTATATATAAAAAAGAAAAAGTTATCAGCCTTCAAAAAAAGAAGACTTTGGCTGGCTGGCCTAGGATTTGAAACGTAGCTGATGTACTAAAAAGGAAAATGATATGTGCATTTTTATATATTAAAAAGAAAATGGATCGTAAGAAAATTCAGCTACAGTAACTTTAATTTCGCTCTTTTGGCCCTCCAACTTTTTTTTTTTTTTTTTTTTTTTTTTCAGACCCACCGCTGACGACCTGTCCATCCTTTTTTTTTTTTCTCAATCGCTGTCCACCCATAGCGCCAAATCACAGAGTCTTCCATCCCATCCCATCAAAGCCCACACTTCAGAAACCCCATGCTACCCACTAGCTACATAATTAATACTATTCTCAACTTTGCTCTTCAATATACCCCACCACAACAAAATACACTGTAATAGCTGTTTTTTCACACAAACACATCCCTGTATCCCTTTCTACGCACAAACTTATAGAGTTGGTAAAAGAAGTCTCCATAATACCCAATCCGTTCCTTCTTCATATATATATAGACACACTTTTTTTTTTCTATGCATATGTAATACACATTCGATGAAGCTCATAATGTAAACGTATAACAGAGAGACTAATTATAATAAAACAAACATATTTATTCAGACGTAGATACAAATGATGACAAACTATTACTAAACTATTGAGCGCTAATCTACTGTCGTTCCCAAATCCTTCATCCAAAATGAAAGCGTTTCCCCATGATGTTTGTTTTGCGTTTTTTAAAACGCCCCTAATTCAAGTTCTAACGTAATCCTAGATCACCATTACCCCAATGAGCCTTGCCATCATATCATTCAGACTATCATGAAGGAAAAAAAATAAAAAAAAAGAAAGAAAAAGAGTGGAAAAAAAAAATGAGGACCAAAAAAAAAAATAGAAAACAAATTGCGGAGCCTGAATCATCCAGCCTTTTTTTTTATGTCAAAAAATGAAGGAAATGCAAATAAAAATTAAATGAAGGGGCAATCGCCATAATTACAATAGTGCATAATTCGTTTTATCTTCCACTGGAAAGACAGTTGCAACTCTTACATAATAAATCTCTAATCTCTCTGACGCCTTTCAAGTAAGCTATTATTTCAGCACACAAAAAAAACCCATTGACGACACCCTGAGCACGGCGGTTGGGCCCCAAGGGGCTTCCCGCCAAAGTGCGAAATGGCGGAGGCTTTAATCTTATCCCACCAAAACCCACACTTTAATAAAAAAAAAACTGTGACACCCAAGAAATCGAAATATTTCCAAGAGCTCCAGCGGAGCGCCAGAGCGTTTATTTTGTAAAGCACCGCGAAAATTGTAAAGTATTACTCCGAAAACAAGGTAAAAAAGTATACCCCTGGAAACCAGGTCCTGTTTTTGCTCGTTTCCGCTCCGATATCAAGCGTAGTTAGTAGATGTAGATGTAGATGTAGATTGTAAGACTTGCAAACGAAGATTAACTTATGTATTTTTATTTTTATTTATTATTTGTACAATAAAAAGTACCGTCCCTTCTTTTTTTGTTGTTGTTGTACGCACAGACACACATACACCCGTTTTTTTTTTCTTCTGCTTATAATAAGACCATATTCATACATTTGGTAAGACAATCAAACAATGAGAAAGAATAATGATAGAAAAAGACAAGACGAAGTTTATTCAGTAGCAAGTATAACAATGACAACCAATACTAAACTAAGATGAAGGCTAATTCAATAGTGGTCCCAAATTCTGAATCCAAATGAAAGGGTTTCCCCATGCATCTCGTAATACCTGAGCTGAAAACCCTTCTAATCTAGTCCTGGCACTAATACTAGTTGAACATCACCTCATTGAAATCAATGAAATGGCGGTGACTTGGGAAAAAAAAAAAAAAAAAAAAAAGAAAAGAAAGGAAGGAGGAAAGAAAAGGCTTTCTTTAAAGCGCTTATTCAAACGGCGATTGAAGTCACAAAATTGAAATGAAAATTGAAAATTTGGCATTATGAGTGAGCCATACCATACGGCTAATTTTGGTTGTTAGGTATTTTGTTTATTCGGTAGCAACTTGGGTTTGTTTTTGCAGAGTTTTATTTTTTTTATAGAGGGAGTACCAGAACTTTTTAGGGTGGAGCTCAACCAGTTGTAAAGACAAAGCGACAGAATAAAATTGATGTGAGGATTCGAAGTCCGTTCAGGGGAGAAATAATGAATAATATAAAGACTATGGAAATCAAAACTTTGGAATAGTAATAAATAATAAATAGGGAGTTTGTACTAAATTTGTTTGAATTAATGAGAAAACTAATAAAAACTAAAGAAAACCCCTAAATTTGATGGAGTATTTGTATTGATTTTTGAATCGCAAAAAAGCGTTTTGTAAAGGCTGATAAGATGGAAAAACCTAATAATTAAGAATGTGTAGGAGAAAAATATGAGATTTCAGAGTGAAACTTGAGAATTGAAAAAGAAAAGCATTTTCTCGACAGTACTTCACAGTCAAAGCAGAAGATCCATAATGTTTATTGAAAATTATGTCATGTTCAATATCACCAGTAAGTTGGTATGAGTTGATTTTTTTATTTTACTGAAAAGATCATAGCTGTTTGCCAAAAAAGGAAAACATTTTTCTCATATTCTTTTGAGAAACACAACGTACTTTATATGAGAGCATCAATTTGTCGATAATATACCATTTAATAAATATACAATAAAAGATAGTAATACAATATGGGTAATATTTTGGTGTAAACGCAATGATTTTTTTATTGGTCACAAAGAGAATAAAATAAATAGATGAAAAACCAATATTAATATGAATGAGACTATCTGCAAAATATATAATGGCAATACTAAAATATAGGGATGGGGCCATCGGAGAGGAATAAAACCAATGACCTAATAACTAATAACTAATTGACATTCCTAAATTGATCTGGAAGTTCGAGATGACAGATATAAGGAATGTTGAAAGGAACGAGCGGTCGACGGTGATTGTCGGACATCCATTATTGATTCTGGTGTGACTAAATATTGATGATGCTGATTGAATCAGAAACTATCATTGCTAACGCTACTGAGACAAACAAGGTGAGGATTTCAGTGGTATTGTGGGATTGGCGACTGTCGAACCAGGTTATTGACATAAGGGGAAGAGGTCCTTTTATAATAAACGTGCTGATGTGCTTGCTGTCAGGCATAGTCCGTTTCGGCGCATCGTACTGATAACCGTAATTCCGCCAAATATAATTTTCGCAAAAAAGTTATCGCGTTCTTCCTATCTCCCCACACCCCACAAAAAAAAGTTGCGTTTAATATGCAAGTTAGCTATATATTTATAAGTTAGTCTTACATTAGATATTGGCTGTATTCTTTTTCGGTAGTTTCGGTGATCTTGACCAATCGTTTTGGATTTCCGTTCATGCATTTCAATTCTCCTGTGCTTGTGGCTTGATTTCGGCAGTGTAACGCAGGTTTTGTTCATTCTCCTAGTCATGATAAGAAAAATATATATCTGCCTTCTTGATATAATAATAGTATCCATTTTTTAGCTTACCATCATCAAAAAAGATACCTCGTATGGTTGCGACTGCTAGTTCGATTGGCATCATTATCCAAATGTCATGGTTGTTCTGGGTTGGTCTGATCGACTATGTATCTATATCTTGGAGGTATCGTGGACGGTCCTGGGTCCCCTTTTATCTTGAAAAATAGAAAAATAAAAAGTGGATGAGTAGATTGATCAAGCGAGAATACACGTTTTTCTCTTCCCGCTTACCTGTCGTTGCATTTCATCCGCAAAGGGGTTTGACCACGTTTCATTTGATAACGGCACGACAAAATTCCACAAAGTAAAAATGATTGTAGAT